TAAAAATTTGAAATACATATACATGTACATGTATATCATATCTCTTTTCTCTCTCTCTCTCTCTTTATTCTAGTGCATTTTCTCTCAGTCCTGGTGTTGATGATGCTCTTATTAGTAAGGATTGGTTCACTAATCACTATAAGTGGATTGTATGGAAACTGGCCACCATGGAGATATGCTTCCCTGAGAAATGGGCTGGAAGGTAACATAAACTGTGTTATACAGTATATACTTATACACATTGTATTCTTCTCTCTCTTTCTTAATACATGTACCTGTACATGTAGGTGCCTAACAGTTGATTGGTGTCTCTTACAATTGAAGTATCGTTATGATATTGAGATAGATCAAGCTAAAAGGTTCATGTCTTTATCATTTAATTGTACATCATTCACTTCTTTCTCTGGTACTGTAGGTCTATTATTCATAAGATATGTGAAGGGGATGACACACCCACACGCCACATGATCCTCTGTGTATGTCACATGACACAAGAGACCAACGCAAGCAATGAAGTACAACTACATGTACATGTACTTAATACTTTTATTTATTTTTTATTTGTCTTATTGTAGGTGGCTTATTCTTTGGAGCTTACCGATGGATGGTATTCTATTCCGGCTAGATTGGACAGACCATTGTCCTCCTTTGCTGCTCGTGGTTTGATATGTGTGGGCGGGAAACTTGCTGTATTTGGGGCGGAGCTAAGTGGAGATCAAACTAATGGACATCCACTAGAGGTACGTGTAAAAATGGTCATAACTTGAAAATTTGAAGTCGGAATCAACTCAAACTTTCTACACAGCATAAGGACATCAATATGTATCAGAAAATGTAATGAAAAGTGGGGGTGATTTCGGAGCCATTTTTTGGAAAAAACCATGGACTATAGTACAGGGATTTTTTCAGAAAATGACCAATTTTTTAAAATGGCCATAACTCGAAAAATCAAAGTCGGAATCGACTCAAACTTTCTACACAACACAAGGACATCAATATGTATCAGAAAATGTAATAAAAATTGGGGTTCATTTCGGAGCCATTTTTTGGAAAAAACCATGGACTATAGTACAGGGATTTTTTCAAAAATTGGCCAATTTTTTCAAATGACTATAACTCAAAAATTTGAAGTCGGAATCGGTTCAAACTTTCTACATAGCACGAGGACATCAATATGTATCAGAAAATGTAATAAAAATTGGGAGTGATTTTGGAGCCATTTTTTGAAAAAAACCATGGGCTTTAGTACAGGGAAATTAGCATAATTTTTGATGGCCATAACAATTTTAGTCAATTTAACAAAAGTACATTAATATTATTTTTAGGTCTCCAAGTCCAAGTTATTGTTATTAAATGCTAATTCAGTGAGGAGAGCTCATTGGTCGGCTCGTCTTGGACTATTACCACACCCAGTCCCTCCTTCATTTCCACTTCAATCCATTATACCAGCTGGAGGCATAATACCAGCCATTGAGGTTTGAATCATGTGATTGTCATGTGACTTTTACATGTAGCACATGTACAGGTCGTCATTGCAAGACGCTATCCTTTGCTTTATGTTGAGAGAGGGTTCTCCGATGGAGATGGGCGGGGCTTTAATGGGCGTGTCTTCAGGAGACGGCACGAGGAGGAAAGAGTGGAGAGAGAGTGGGAGGAGAAGAGACAAAAGAAAATGGAAGAGATTTATGAAAGAGTTGAGAAGGAGTACAAAGAAGAAGTAGGTAAGAGGAGAAGAGAATTTTAAAATTATTACATATATTCTTCTTATTGTTACCAATCCCTCCTCTCTCTCTTTCTCTTAGAAAGTCATTCAAGACAGAGAAAGAGAAGATCCAGTAGAGTATCAGTTCGTTATGTTAAACAGCTCCAAGATGGAGAGGAAATATACAATCAGCTACAGTCCTCATCAGATCCTGACTCATTCATGGTATGAGAGAAAGAGAATGAGAATATGTGGTGAAGTACCGTACATGTACATGTACACGAACAATGTACATGCATGTAAGTAAACATGTGCATACATGTACATGTACATGTATTTGTAAAGTGTACTATTCATATTTTTACTATTTTTAGGAGCTTCTCTCTTCCACTCAGCGTACACTTTTAGAGAGCTATCAAGTTTCTCTTGCGTCAAAGAAGCAAGAAGAGTTACAATCACGAATTAAGAAAGCAGTTGAAAAGGCCGGTGAAGAGGTATGATCATTATTAATTATAAATATTATTGTTTTTAGTTGCCGCCCACTCGTAATGTATCCCAATTACTGAGACTAGTACTGGTACAGTATGGGGAAATCCCCTCTTCTACTTGTGAGTGGTGGGTGGGGCTGTGGGTGTGGTTTCATTTGTCATAGGTTGTTTGCTTAGTGCTTGGAATGTGGGTGGATCTGAAATGAGAGATAACCTTAAGGAAGGAGTTACTCTTAGAATAAGTAAAGTATCAGCTAATTCAAAGTAAATAATCAAAGCTTGAATGTACAATGTACATGTATGTGTACATGTTTAGTGTACATTTGATTATTATTTTATTGCTTCAGTTTTCATGATGGACAATTACAATTAAGTTCAGGAAAGTTAACATCTTTCTCACTCCTACCTAAAGACCAATCTCACATGATTAACTATACACAAAGACAAGTTAGTTTATACAATTTAATAGCAGTATCATGCATAAATAATATCAATGAGAAGGAGTCTCTATACATTGTGTTGTGCACTAGAAGAATTGCATACACAAAATAAACTACATGTAACTATGGTTAGCTCAATCTACAAAATCTACACAGTGCACAATAAAGTTTTCTAATATCTACAGTATATGTATCAAATTTAAAGATTTTCTCAGCATTAATTGATTTGTTTGACTTTTTCTAATTTTTTATCCTCTATCTTTTCTGATGCCTTCAGTCCAGCAGTAGTTACTCCTGCTCCTCCAACTCCTCCAACAATAGCTCCAGCTACAGCACCCCCAAACCCACCAACTAATGCACCAGCTACAGTACCAATCCCAGGTACTATGGGGCTGCCTAAAACACCACCAGCTACTGCACCACTTGTAGCTCCTACTATAATTGCTCCTGCTGTACCTCCACCTGCAACTGCAACAAGCCCAGAATTTCGCTTATACCAAGTTGCAAATGCAACTGCTTGAGGAGTACAGCGTTGCCCACATAATGCCCAAAAATCTGTATTCCATCCAATTTCGCTTGTAGGCAGAGTTTTCTTTTTGCTACTTGTCACAATACTTGGGATGTCTCGAACTACTTCTGCTGAAATTTTGTTTTCTATAAGATACGTCTTCATTTCTGCTTTGACTGCATTTTCCTGCCTTTTCATGTGTTGTTTAGCACTCATGCTTGTATTTTCCCCATCCCATTCTATAAGATATTGATCTCCACAGGTAAACACAATAATAGTGTGTTGCATCAAGTTATCACCGAGTGCTCTTACCATCTCTTTGAGCATCATCTGACAGTTTTTATCAAATCTGGCGTACAATCTGTGGCATATTAGAACAATGTCAGCACTCTTCATTTTTGATATTGCACTCTCAATGATAGATCGATCTTTTGTTTTTGTATCTCCAAAACCCCGAGTATCGTATACTGTAACTGGTATGCATGCATCATTATTTTCACCTACTGTGTGGTGAATTTCATGTACTATCTCATGCTCAGTAGGTGTTAC